GTCATTATTATCGATATAGAGGCCGAATCTATAGTTTTTAGATATTTTGTCTGTCTATCTGTCTGTCTGTTACCGCATCGCAGAAAAATTACTGGAGGGATTTTGATGAAATTTGGTTTGGTGATAGTTGGTTATTCGAATCAATATATAGGATACTTTTTACCGCGGGAGAATGTCTCATTTCTGAGAAAAAATACAAAAACTGCAATGTAAGAGTAAACTAATATGTAAAAGCTAAGAATTTGGTTTTTGGTCATCTGAACGCGTGCGGAGCCGCGGGCAATGCCGGTTTTTATTTAAAATACATTAAATTAATTAAAATGAACATTTTGTTTGTGAACCAATCTATATATTTTTTGTTTTAGTTTATTAGCTATTGACGAGCTTTAGCTTCATAAAAAAATCAATAATAATCATGGTCGAAATTCGACCACTCGGCTCTACTACTCTAGTTTAAATAAATATGCCTCCTACTTTTTAAGATGATATGCAATGAATATGAAAATGCGACCTGTGAGCATGCATGTATTGCGAGTGAAGGGAAACGATGCATGTAATGTTGATGTCCAAGCACAAACATTACTTTCTGTCACGTTCGTGATCTCGACCGCCGCTCGGTCAGGTGATATGAATGGCACACCCGCACCTCGTTAGGCAAAGTGCATTGCTTCTCGACCTTGGCCCCTTTGCACTGGGGGTTAGCTGGAACCGTGTGACACATTTGAGTGTTACTAGAATGCACACGTTATATTACATTGTAATTGATCTAGATAAAAATGAATCGTAAATAATGATCCATTCATGGTCAAGACCGCCTTTTTAGGGTATATCAACATAAAAGTTTACTATGTTAATAATGAACATTAATAGCTTTAATTAAATTGTCCTTTAATACTGTCATCGTGTAAATCGCTTATCACTCCTATGGGGCCACTATTTATCGTTAATAACTATTACAAGCAATTATATACATATAGATATACTGGCGACTCATACCTCGATATCAACTATCATCACACCAAATTTTATTAAAATCAGTTCATTGGTTTCTCGTGATGCCTTCCCAGATATATAGACCGATTCAAATTCTTCAAACTATAAATTCAGCCTCTGTATCGATAATAATGACTATTTCAAAAGATTTTCCGAAGAATATGTAATGTACAGATTCGGCTCAGTTACAATTTTATTATATGTATAGATAAAATCATATATATTTTATTATATGGATTGATAATATTGTATTATTACAATTTTAAATAAAGTTCAAGAAATAACTTGTTACTTTTTTGTTTTACTGTGAAAATTGATTAGAAAATGACTATATTCCTTAATTCCTATTCTTGAATGTTTTCAAAGATGATCACACGAAAAAACTTTTTTTTTTCGCTCCACCGTAATATATTTTTTTAGATGAAATTTGGTAAGGAGATAGTTTGAGACCATATTTTTTTGAAAATGGGTATGAAAGTTTGTATGGAGAATCAAGCTAGGGACGAACCCTTTTTTTACGTATACCACCCGTAGTCATACATTTATAAGGGTAGAAATATATGTACTCGTATCTTAAAAAAGAAAGAGAAGGAGCGACTGTAAGCTTCAGGTGTACCTACATAGAATTGGGTCTTTAAAAATAACGTAGATGTTAGCCTGTTAATATGTAAGTTAAAAGCCCATCTTGGCTGAGATAGTGGTGTAAACACCTAAAATAAAAAAATATTTACAGGATATTCGAACATCTTTTAAGATACAGGCTGTTTTGAGTTACGATCACTAAAATTAAATTTGCTTTCCATATATCTTTAAGAAATAATAAAATTTAAGTGAGATTATTTTTTGTAAATAATAAAATGTATAGTTTCGTGTTGATCGCGGGCTAAACCGCGGGTGCTGCTAGTTCTCAATAAAGTATTTATATTTGACTATTGTTTTCATATAAGTACCTACCTAATTATTTTCAAATAAATTGCTTTTTCCGCGACTATAATATAAATTACATTAAGTCATTCTCTGATTAGGTTCTCTTCTGAGTACGATCTCTGAGTTTTACAAATTATAATAATCATTACTATTAAACTCAATTCTCGTGAATAGCTTCTTTAGAAGAATTTCTCTCTGAAAATTATTGTAAAATTGGTAGCTAATAACGGGTACAAGTGTATAATATATCGACACATTTACGAGTATGCCGTGTGCCGAATGTCAATTATCCACACTTTCAGAGTAATCCTCTAATTACCTAACATAATATTTACATATAATAAACATTATACATATATTACAAATAATTTCATATTTTTATAATAGCCATTTTACGTAGCTATACTCGTAGTTAAATTTATTATCGTACACTCATTCATTGTATGAAGAATAGTATTTTAGTAAGTAGGTGACGTATTAACACTATGCAGTATTGTGGTACGAATCTTCAATACTAATTTGAGCCTTGTGAAGATATTTTTTTTTTTGTAAACTCATCTATACTAATATTATAAAGAGGTAAACTTTGTGAGCTTGTGAAGCTGTAGGGGGTAATCTCTGGATCTACTGAACCGATTTAGATGAAAGTTGGTAAGAAGATAGTTAGAGACCCTGCGAAAGACATAAGATACTATTTATCCCTCAAGGAGGTGAAAATGAGGATTAAAGTTTGTATTGGAAAGCAACACTACTCTCCTTTACTCAATAAAGCGTTAAACGGATTTGGAATTAACTTAACAAAGAAATATCGGAGTTCCGTCTGAGCTTAGAAATATTTTCCTATAGTACAATAGTTTTACCTCGATGCTTTGTTAAGTTAAGAATACTTTATAACTGAACTTATCAATAGATAGCGCTGCCTAAGACTGTTGAAAAAGAAAGAAGTACTTTGCCCGCGGGTCAAGCCGCAGGCAATAACTACTTGTTGCATAGAGGGCATCGATTTTCCGTCTTCGTGTCATATTCCAATTTGATCTTGATTCAGACTCAGTCATAATTTCTAGAATTAACATGTTTTTTTAAATTCAATAGCTTATAATAATACGAAATGAAAATTATTTATTGGCTACATTGCCATAAGCTTATTTCATCGAAATCAATTTAATATTATTGAGGTTGAAGAACAAATCATAGCCAATAAAAATAAACAGATCATTAGAATGACACGATTCAGGTAAATAGGTAAATCTAACATCCCCATATAACACCTTGATAGATGTTTCTTACAAAAGTTGAATCCTGAATAACTTTAGTTACTTTTATTACAAGTGAAAAACCGCGTTTTTCTCGCGTACGCACTGTATGTAGGTGATTTTTTATCCATACTAACACTATAAATGCGAAAGTAACACTGTCTGTTACTTTTTCACGGGTAATCCGCTGAACCAATTTACAATTTATAATAATTAACAATAGCGTAGTATTACTCACTATAGTCATAGCCAATCTGTTTGCTAAATTTTATCCAAATTGGCGCAGTCGTTTCAGCGTGAAGAGTAACAAACATACACATACACTTTCACATTATAATAGTAGTGTGATGTAAGTAATTTAATTGGGTTAAAATATATTAAGCTATGAAAGTATCATAGAAAAGTATTGAATCTTCTAACGATAGGGATTAAACGAGTGACGACGTGACTGGATAATTTTGTCGTAGTATCTTTTGTACTACTAGCTATACTCGTATAATTTCACTTTTTATACTATAACCTACTTTGCTAACTACTGAGTAGTCGTAATGATAGTCGATTTGATCATTTAAAAGCTAATGTAATTACTACATTATTAATTGCACGTACGAGTAAAAGTGTGTGAACTTAAAGGCTAAATTTGGCTCGAATTAACACACCTTTCAATTAAGGCACATTGAGTCTTCAATAGAATTAAACGATACGAGGTGCTCTTCAATATTTTAATATATAAATGGTTTTATTATAGCATATAACCCTGCCCACTTAATTGATATTTATATTTATATATATATATATATATATATATATATATATATATATATATATATTATATATATATATATTTATATATATATATATTTATATATATATATTTATATAAATAAATATGTAGGTACCTACACTCGCCGCGATCTGAAAAATCTATACTAAAAGCATCGACTTCAAACCTATCAATAGGTAGCACATACAAATAATAGTATTTTATTAATATTAAAGGTATTATGTTTGCATAAGAGGTGTATTAAATTAAATCTTTAATAAGTTATTTTATACTTTTTAGTGTCTGTAATAGGTTGTTCCGTAAATTACAGTAGGTAATAATGTAACGATTGGTCATAATATTTCTCAGTTTCTCTACTCCGCACTCTCGCTTCACTTCAATGACAGGTAGCCTAATATCCACTTATCGGGACACGGGTTTTAATAATAATATGTAAACAAACTAAATGAAAACTCCTAAAAAAGCTGTACACAAACTAAAATAAACTTACAACGTCCACGTAAAGAAAAATGTACAGAAAAAATGTTCATAAAATGAAAACTACTGGGCCAAACAAATGTTAAATATTTATGGGACCAAATGGCAACTATTGCGCATCAAACTAAAGAAGAATCACGTAAATCTCAGCGTAATCGGTGTACATACATAAAAAAATATACCAATTGAATTGAGAACCTCTTCCTTTATAAAGTCGGCTACAATCACTGGACAGATTTTGATAAAATTTGGTATGAGGTTATTCGGGTCAACTATAGAATACTTTTTACTGCGGGAAAATATCTCATCTCTGAAAAATCTATATTAAACATTACTAGAGACGAAACCGAGCGGAGCGACGCGACGGTGAGTTACTAATTGTTAAATAAACAATAATATATAAAAATAAAAAACCCTGAGTGCGCAAAGAACGAACAAATAAAAAGTAACTGAATGGTGATTTTCATTTACTGTAGATACTTGTACCAACTCAGAAATTTTATAAGTCAGTGCCAGCCGAAAGAATTTAACATGTTAAGTGTCTAAAATAGTTTTTTCTCCTACAGGTCAGTGGCTTGAAGTTCGAAACTCAACTTCGAACACTTAACCAATTTCCTGAAACACTGCTTGGAGACCCTTCAAGGAGGATTCGATACTTCGACCCTCTGAGGTAAAATAATCAAAAACAATAATATTTATTAACTATAAATACTTCTACATTACTATCAGAACATTTCTAATCACACCAACGAGTTTTTTTGTGTTTCTGTTAATAATAAAAAAGATTTTTTTATTACTAACAGAAATAACAAAAGTTTTTTTCTATATCATAGCCTGTGTCTGACTTTGGGTATTTACAGTTACAGATCAAATAAGCGTGCGTCTAAGGAATTTTCCGAAAAACAAACAAAGCAACTATCATTTCAATGAATAAAGACTAACAGAAAACAATAATATAACCTATAATAATTACTTGCAGGAACGAATACTTCTTTGATAGAAACCGGCCGTCCTTCGACGCCATCCTCTATTATTACCAGAGTGGCGGTCGCCTGCGCCGCCCCGTGAATGTCCCACTGGACGTCTTTTCCGAAGAAATTAAGTTTTACGAGCTGGGGGAACAAGCTACCAACAAATTCCGGTTAATATATTCAAATGACGATATTCACAGTAAATTCTACTTGTAGTATATTATACAAATATTTATATGATTTATGTATTTATTTATGACGTAAATATAGTTTAAATGTCTATACTACTGCTATAGTTTTCTAAATCACTAAAAATTTAATTATTATAAAAGCAACTAAACAGTTTTCAAGCTTCAATGAATATTAGTTACTTGTTTGTTTAAAACTCAATCACACCGTGTAACTATAAATTACAAAGTTTCGGTTCAATTTTCCATAACTATAATGATTAACGGAATCCACAATACTAATTCTTAGAACACAAGTTATAACGAAGCTATAATTTTTAATCATAGATTATACCGTTGAAGTTGATGTGTTTTTAAATCTTATTGCATTAGCAATAAGATTAAAAAACAGATTATATGTATATATGTATTATACTTTATTTCAGTGAGGATGAAGGTTTTATAAAGGAAGAAGAGAAACCCCTTCCATCAAACGAACGTCAACGCAAAATCTGGCTGTTATTCGAGTACCCAGAGAGTTCCCAGGCCGCCCGAGTTGTTGCCATCATCTCCGTTTTCGTTATCTTGCTGTCTATCGTTATCTTCTGCCTTGAGACTCTGCCGGAATTCAAGCACTACAAAGTCTTCAACACCACTACCAACGGAACCAAGATTGAAGAAGACGAAGTGCCAGATATTACTGATCCTTTCTTCCTCATAGAGACGCTTTGTATAATCTGGTTCACCTTTGAATTAATAGTGCGGTTTTTGGCTTGTCCGAACAAATTTAACTTTTTCCGCGACGTGATGAATATCATAGACATAATTGCTATAATACCCTATTTCATCACTCTTGCCACCGTCGTCGCTGAAGAAGAGGATACTTTGAACCTTCCAAGAGCTCCCGTTTCGCCTCAAGATAAATCTACTAACCAAGCCATGAGTCTTGCTATACTTCGAGTGATTCGTCTCGTGCGGGTCTTCCGAATTTTCAAGCTATCTCGACACTCTAAAGGATTACAGATTCTTGGGCGAACGCTGAAGGCATCCATGAGAGAACTCGGATTGTTGATATTTTTCCTCTTCATCGGTAAGTTTCAAGAAACTTCATTATTTCAACTAAATTCTATAAATAAAATATGCAAATATTATTATAATTAAAACGCAAAATAAATTTTGGTAATATAAATATGTTTGTCAAGAAAGCGATGTAATTATTATCATAATCAAAACTCCAGGATGTATAAATCTTTTTTATTTATAATAATTTTTATATTCATCCGATACGATTTTAATAAAATTGTCTTTGAATTAAATTCGGTTAAAAATTTGAGTACCTTAAGACTAAGTAAAAACTAGGATAAGTGGATAGCGCCCTGCCGGGTGGGTATCACTCAACGCAGTAACGAGGCCAAGGAAAAGAGCGGGGGCGGGCAGGCTGCGGGCGCTCTTGCACCAAATATTTTGTTTTCGCAGGAGTGGTCGTGTTCTCAAGTGCAGTATTCTTTGCTGATAAAGATTGTCCCGATTCCAACTTTTCCTCTATTCCCGATGCGTTTTGGTGGGCCGTCATAACAATGACCACTGTCGGCTATGGAGATATGAGGTAACCGCGTCTCGCGACCCGCCCGGCACCCGCCTGCAGTCGCTCCCTCGCTCGCACTGTGTATCCCACTGTATCCGCGTTCGTATGTGCTTAAAGGTGTGGTCCTGTTTTCATCCGCGGTGTACTTCGCGGAAGCCGGAAGTGAGAACAGTTTCTTCAAATCCATACCTGATGCGTTTTGGTGGGCGGTCGTGACAATGACGACCGTAGGATACGGCGACATGACGTATGATTCAGCGACTTCACCCTAAATATCATCTATGCCTTCTCGTCATTTCTCATTTTATCCTACAATTTTACATCGGCATCTTAACACGGTTGTGATTTTCTTTCGCCACATCATATAACTACATACGCTTAAGTTTGATTTTATCGACGGCTCGCCTAGTATATAACCAATCACACTTTATACTATCCACTTCTTATACAGATAAATGCACGTCTCAAACGTTCGATAGTAGGAATTTATTTAATCATTACATTCTCAAGTTATTTTTTCTACGTGAACTCTTACAATTTTACATGGAAGCATAGGTGTAAAATTTTTCATTTCTAAATTTCAATATTAATTTCACAACGATATCTACTGTATACATTTTTCAAGACCCGTCGTCGGTGTGACAATCGCCCCTCCCAAATCGTAATCAACTGAGAATATGCTTGTTTAGTGGTACACTTCAACTATGATAGAGACATAATAATTTATATAATATGGGAGTAATTCTAATATCAAGTTGAAGTAGTGCTGTCGGTGTCAGTTCTACCGTTAAATGTGCTCCTATCGTAACGCTTTTGCTAAACTTTCGATGTATACCTGTCCGATGTTATCGTTGTTGTGATTGTTATTATGGACTAAATGCTTATCGAAAATGGTGATATAAAGGAGTTATGTTATTACCACTTATTTTGACATCATTAGAACACCAATTGTTCACCGAAGCCATATTTCAGTTATTTTGCTATTTCACCCAGTGCTACGGTCCCGATTATCACACATCCATGTTAATCATTTTTAATGCGATACTTTTAAACCATGGTAAAATTTACACGTCTTGCTCCTATGTAAAATTGTTGTTCAAAGGTTTCATTGCTTTTTTTATATCACCTTAAATGTTTAGTTTTCACACCATTTTCGATGTAGGAATACATGTTCATTGTTCGTTAGACGTAAAGTGGCATATTGCATGACTGCAACGTATACCATTGTCATTTCTGACTATAGTACGTATTTATATTCTAAGTCCATCTTTAATAATAAAAATGTTTCTTTATATTTACAATATACCTTTTTGTTTTACAATATGTCCAAAATAGGCTCAAGACTCGATGCGTTAAATGTATTAATAGACTCTATAAAACATTTCAGCAAGCGAATTTATTTTCTGTTAATACGTTTAAGACTGGAGTTTTGGTTATTTTGGACATGGTGCTGGCGTTAAAATATTGCTGTGCGAAGAATTGGTTAGGTCTCCTGAGTATTGCTTGCGTGTATGAAAGGGGATGTAAGAAATTGTATTGCTGATCTAAAGATAATGCGAAGGTTTTAAATTTTTTATTTAATAATCACCTTAGAAACTTTAATCAGTATTCCTTAGCTGTATTAGACTTGTTAGTGCATCCAATTATTTTATTACATCACCACAAAGTTACACCAGTCATATAAAGCATGTGCATCATCATGGGCTCCATTTATGCAGTAATATTACTCGAACTGTGTGATATCTTATGTTATTTTTTCTGTTAGGCCTGTTGGTGTATGGGGTAAGATCGTGGGATCGCTTTGCGCGATCGCTGGAGTACTCACCATCGCTCTACCGGTGCCGGTCATCGTATCTAACTTTAACTACTTCTATCATCGTGAGACAGACCAAGAAGAAATGCAGTCCCAAAACTTCAATCATGTCACCAGCTGCCCGTACCTGCCCGGGACTATGGGCGAACCCTACTTGAGTAAGTCTTCTTGTCTATCACACATCGCACATTTTTTTATCAATTATATGTGTAGAAATAGTACATTTTGCAATGCAGGATATATTTTTTAAGTTTTATTTTCAAAGTTATATTATATTATCTTTCATTTTATTCTGCACGTTAAAGCTGCCACAAACAAATTTGCATGAAGCGCTTTTTATAATTTGTTTCTTTTATGTTCATTTTCCATACTTTCAGGTGGGAAGGACGATGATAGAGACGAGCTCTGCAGTGATCATTGACTTTACAATAGTGTTGTGCGTTTGTTTGTTTAGTGAGATTTAGTTTTTATCGAAAGAGACGATCTTTGTGATATTATCATAAGGCAAGAAGTACAGTGTTTATGTAAATATTAGTTTAAGTTATGTGAAAATGCCATATTGACTATTGTTGTTTATTTTCTCCATAATTATGTTTGCGATGTTATTTTATTAGAAAATAATAGAATTTTGATCGCATTCTAAAATGCTTACACTTTTTGTTTCGCTCTCCTACACCTACTTGCGCTTAAAGAATATTATATTTATGCACCTATTTAAAGTTCAAATGACAAAATATAAACAGTATAAATAAATCATATAATTTAAAAAAAACACTTGATTATTTATATTGATACCGTTTAGCAAATAATAAAAAGGCGATAGCATAGTAAGGCGGCTTTAGTGCAGCTTAAATAGTATTTGAAACGTTCCATGCCCACAGGCAACTAAGCGGGGTTTTATTTCTTTCAACCACTATCTTAAGCTGCTCAAAGAATTGCTTGTCTAACGTAAAGTTTTCCCGTAGCAATTTTACTTCTTATTTTATTTTTAATACGAAGATAAGCGCTTTTAAAAAAATGCGCTTTTATTAGTACACTTGTAGATCAACTAGCCACGATAGAAAATCTTTTTCCTTTTACCTGTCCAAGATTTTTTCACGTTGTAGTAATTAAAACACCGACCGATGTTTTATTATTTTATTTAACATTTTTTGTATTTTTAAACGAACTTAGACCTTTTAAATATACATATTTATCTTATGTTAAATTATTCTGTTGCCTGAAATATATACATTTAGCTCTTGTTATCATATAATTACATATACATTATTTTTTAATTATATTAAAGGTATGATTTTAAAATATAATATAATTAGTTAAACAAACTACAGAAGGAAACTCATAACTATTATACGTTACTAGTAGAAACGTAAAGTTAAGCTATCGACAATTTTATTTTCATATCGTTTTTAGAGTTCAATTACTTCTTGTTAGCGCCCTTACGAGTATTTCACGGTCGTGTATATTTTTATAAATAAGTTTCACGAGAAAACCACTAGACAGATTTTGATGAAATTTGGTATGATGATAGCTGGTTATCCGGGTCAACATATAGTATACTTTTTACCGCGAGAAAACATCTCATTTTTAAGAAAAAATACAAAAACTGTATTGTAAGAGTATATCTACTAATATGTAAAACCTAAGAATTTGGTTTTTGGTCACCTGGACGCGGGCCGAGCCGCGGGCAATGCTAGTAATGATTATAAATCTTTTTGTGATATCTGTAACTAAAAAACACGCACGTACGCGTCATTATCAACTCTGAAGTCAACGTTTCCTTGAAACAAGTTAGAGATTTTGACCAGGAGAGAAAATAAATGGTGAAGATAAATATTAACAATTAATTTTGCTAAAAAGAATTTTAAATATAAATGTAGAGACTCTAGACGCAAAATTTTTATCTAGCCACAAAGAAGTCCTGTGCCGACTGAACTTAAGAAAAAGCATCCGTCTACGTCACGTATGTATGTATTCAGGCGAAAGTTTGTAGTATCGGGGAAGTGATAGTGAAAACTGTTTCCAATACTCCATTTACTATTCATTTATATTCTAGTGCAGTATGGCTTGTTGTGTATTTAGTTTGTCTTGTATTTTGAGCTTATTTTTGTTTTTGTTATACTTTATATTCATCAATAATTCTATGTATTTTAGCGTTACGTATAAATAGTTACATTAAAATTTCATTATCATTAATATCGGTATAGTTTTCCTTTTTTTTCCTCATATTTTTTTAAAACTAATACATAACAGAAATCTGCAGTTAATATTTTCTTAGTAATAGTTTGTTTGAGTACTACTAACTGCATAGTCTTGGTGTCAATTAACTAAATTCAATTGTATAAAATTAAAATCTTGCTTTAATTTATGGCGACGTAATGATAATCGAAAATTATCTTAATCCTGATCCTTGTATTAATATTTGTAATATATCAAGCTATTGCTACTCATATTGGCTTTACATTTTTCGTTGTTTAACAGTAAAATTATAAAGGCGAACATTACATAATTATAGTTGCCTTTCACGGCGAGAGCAAAAATGTCAGTTGCCATTTATCGGAGCAGCAACAACAGCTCATTGTTTCATAAACAATAAAGTAGCAACTTAATCATATTTATAAAGACTTCTTTGCACCTTGTGTTACATCCAGGCTTGAATAAGAATAAAAAAAATTAACTATGTCAATGGATAAATAGCTAAGTAAAAATGCTACTATGCTAAATGTACTTTGCTACATTTTCAAAAATGATAGTGACAAAGGATGAAAACAGTTTCAGGACCCATCAAAAAGTCGTCTATCAGTGACGACTCATCTTCGGACATGATGGAACTGGAAGATCCAGCTTTAGTGACCGATTCTCACCTGGAGAGCAACATGCGTCGTTTGCGGGAAGAGGAACGTCTGCTTCTAGAACAGCAGGCCGCAATGGAGGCCGCCGGAAACGTTGACGACATCGCTGCACTCGAACACCAAGACTTGCTTCGTCTTAATCAGGTACGTTATAAATTGTTGCTAATATTACTACTGCGAATACTATCAAACTAAGCTATAGTTATGAGTATATACTCTGTTTGAAGAATTATAAAAATAAGTTTTGTTTTGATCTCATGGCTGCGATTGGTCAGTGGCGTATTTATCCTTCTTCGGTCCATGGCTCGAGGCAGCTACGAGGGGCGCGCAAACTTCAACGAAAGTCTATTAAATGTTTGATTGATTATAATTATAAAGCATAATTATAATCAAGTAAGCAATTAATTATATTTTGGATTTTGTAACCATGGTTGTAGAAAGTGAAAAATGAATACGACCTCCTTGCTTCTAAATATTCTTTTAGGTAGGTACAACATAAAAGTCCATCTTATAGTCTCAGGGCGCCAAATTTTAAAGTACGCTACCACTGATGATCTATCCGGCTTAGCTAAAACAGCAAGAACTGCAGAAGCAACAGGCAAGAAGGGAGCGTGCGAGCGGCGTCGGCGAGGGCGGTACGGACCCGCGTAGAGGCGAACTGCGTAGACGCACCTGCAACGTGCGCGTCAACCAGCTGCATGCGGCTGCCGGCGCGGAGGCGCTGGAGACGGACGTCTGACCAACGGGTTAGTTAACTTCATTCATGTAATAACTAAATTGCGAATTAATTATACTTGTCACTCATTCTTAGTTTCGAATTCATAAATGTATTTAAGTCTAAAGCAGTTAGTAGTGTCTTCTTATACAGATAACATGTACACAAAAAATATTTTAAAATAAGACTTTTTTAAATATTAATTATTTTTTAAATACTTGCTTATATAGGGATTTTTGTAAGAATAACCTTGCATATTTATGGTACATTAATTCAGTAAAGAAATCTGCATTTAATTTAAGTAATAAATATGCTTTATAAGTAATACTATTTATATATTTACATCAAATTAATTGTTTTTTTATTAGAGTTAATTACAGGATAGGATCAACAAAACATAGAAATCATCCCACTACAGCCGCATTTGCGGTTGCAATGAAATTATTCATACATATTTTCTTGTTTGGGATTTAAAAAGCACCTTAAAATTATATTATAATATCAACGGAATGTATAAAAATAATGAACAAAAAATTATGCAGGACGGATCGCCTTTCAAAGAAAAAAAATTATTAAGAAAACCACCTTACAAACCCTTTACAATAGCGCCAGACGGATATAGCTTTTGAAAGCGCCGGAAGCCGCCACAAAGAAACTTCACATCTAGACAAGCGTGAATGGCATACGTCAGTTACAAAATGCAACAATATTTTTTTAGTTTTGTATAAAAGTTAGAAATTAAAATACACATTTATTAGTAAGGAACAAAGTGTAGATATTGCATAGGACATTCGCGAATTCTATATGTCTCCTATGAGGGTGAAGGGAGTGATCGATAGCCGCAGCCCGTGACGCCACACAGCCAACCCGCAACCACGTGCTCAAATCGATCCCACTTTACCTGTCCTAGATACTATACATTGTGCCGATTAAACCGCGGACCTACAATTACCTAAATCTTTTATGTTAAATATCGTAAATTACAAATTTTTCAAATTTCTTTTTGTAAATCAACAAACAATCGAAAATAATATAATTATGTATATTTTTATATTTTTAAATTGATATTGAATTTTGATAAAATATGATAGGTAGTATCTGGGCGAACGAGCTTCGCTCGAAGTTTATGACCACAGTATAATTTACTTTAAAATAAACTAAAAACTTGAATCAATACAAAAAAAAGTAAGAACTTTGTAACCGACTAGGATACGAACCCGGACACCTATGATTGCCAATCGTGCGCCCTGGCCGCTTAGTAACGATGCTTATGCATGATTGTCAAGCGGCCCGAGTGTGCGAAATTATCGACCATATTTTGCGTGAAATAATGCGGAAGAAAAGCGCATGAAAACTAGAAACATTCACTTTTTCACAGCCATAAGACTAATTTAGATCGATTTTTTGCCCCAGAAAACCCCCGCATACCAAATTACAGCAAAATCTTTCGAGCCGTTCCCGAGGTCGCCGGTATAAATAAATAAATAAATATACAAGAATTGCTCGTTTAAATATATTAGATTTAAAAATTCATTGTTATTATTAAAATGGCATTCGTTCATGAACATCATAACGACAACGATCCAAGCAACTATCAAGTACGAGCGGTATCGCGTCTGCATTGCGCTTATTATGTCATTTGCCTTCTGTATGAACCGGCAATTACGCTTTAAATATTTTATTTGGTACCTATGATACCTTATCTTTACGATTGTCACGTCACTTCATTTCACTAGCTACCTAAATAGATATATCTTTAGTTATTACCGTTAACAAAAGTTCTATAACAAATATTTCGGCGCTCACTGAAAGTTTTGATGAACACCGGCTACACAATTTGTTTATAGAAATATAATATTCATATTTCGCATTTTATTTCCAACCAACTAGTCATAATCATTATTGTAAAAGTATGATAGCTTATAATTCCATTCTATATGCTCTTAAACCTACTAAATATACCTATACATGTAGGTACCTATATTAATTTAAAAATATCATTTGATAAACTAGATATCAAGTAAAATACTATTGACTTATGTGGATAAAATGTTATTATCGTTTAGTCTTAGGTGAAAGTTTTACACTAGTTCAACAACAAGTTTATTTTTCGGGAGAATTTTATAAAATAATCATTAAAAAAATCCATAGTTTTCTTTCTATCTATACAAATGTATTCATAAAATTATATGGATACTTAATAAATTAAATAATATTATATAAATAAATTATTTATAATAATAATTGTAAACTAGTTTATCAACTTGATAAAAGAACATAGAGAACGTACAAATAAGAAGGCACCGCATTTGTTTGTCAGTAATTCAGTTTTTATATTAATACCACATTAACGCATTTTTCGTTTCTTCAGTCACCGTAGACATACATTGGACAGGACAGTCTTAAATTGTAAGTTAGTTATCAGAAACCGTATTAGCATGTATTCTTCAGGCCAACGCTCTGTCAAAAAGTTGAGAAAATTACTGCGACAAATTATGAAAGGTTTTCAAATTAATCTTGAAAATGTTTTAGTGGTAATTACAATATGTATTATCAACACATAAAAGCATTTGATTGTGAAAAACCTTTTTCATATAGAAATTGGATTGTAACTTTTTAATGGAACGTGGGCTGTAGATTGAGAGCCCGCTAGCCATTATTGTTATGATTTGTTTGGCAGGCATGCGGTGTCTCTACCTCATCCATACGTAACAGTGCCTCTGGCTTTAGTTATTGAAACATTGCGTGGTGCCACGTTAAAACGTCTATTCTTGTATATTATATCAATCCGGATCATGTTACGCGCAATGCCAGCTCTACACAAAGCAGCGATTTTAAAACTTTACTCGTTATAAAGTTTCATACCCTTGGCTAAACTATCAGATGAATCATTTATCCGAAAATTTAAATAGATGTTTTTACGTAAGCACGCGGAACCCCTGACGAGATCCGTTCAACTTCGATAACGCCATTCATATTTATGTGTTTTTCACTCATCGCTGTCTCACGTGTCGTCGGGGGTTACAAAGACGTTTTATAACTTGTTTTTGTTTGTTTTTTTTTACTATATTTAATCGATTAAATGTTTTGGATGTGTATTGTTATTAAAGTAAAGATGTACTGTCAAAATCTTAGCACAAAATTCATTTAAATTTGTACACTTAACCAAAATTCTGCTCATTTCAACCAATTGGCATTTGCTTGAAATACCTATCTCAGGCACTGAGAGTCCAAAATTATACCTTTACCTTATCTTACAGCTAATCTCTGTGGTTTGATATTTGTGGTCTTGTTCTCTGTTTCAGTGGTAGTTGTTATTTGGATTGTGTTTTCGTCAATAAGGTGTCAAAATTCGCATGAAGTCTGGTACTTTGCCCGAGTGTAAGTCAGTTTACACTTATCTACAAGTACCTGTTCGTTTTTATCTCAACTTCTGAATTATTAACAGTATTTTAATTTTGCAGTTTTACTGCAAAAAAATTTTTCGCTCAATCTAAGAAGGAAATTATAAACTAACTCCTTTTTTTTATTATGTCTGATATAATTATATATAAGTAAAGTGTAAACTAGCTTCTCACGACAATGCGGGACAATTCTTCAATTGGCATAATCGTTGTGAGTGTACGTGACATTGCGTTATGATGTGCAGTCCTGGCACTGCGGTACGGCATGGCTTTGTGAGGACCCCTTCCAAAGACAATGTTGTATTCACTAATTGTTAGTTTTAACAACGTTAATAACCACATTATAGACTAAATGTCACTTAAGTAGAATGAGTAAACTGTCTCCACGTCCATCATTAAATTTCAGTTTATGTAAGTTATAAAAAAAATCTAAGTTTATTATTTTCACATACATATATATACTACATATATATATATATATATATATATATATATATATATATATATATATGTACTTTCGTAAATGTCTGTCCATATAATATTGAAATTAAACAAATAAATAAACAGAAGACGCTGTCAAAGCGAGACTTATCAATGCTAGCGCAGCTAAATGACTGTGATAAGTTGCACAGGGCAATAAGAATTTCCTTAACATTTCCAGGTAAGGCGAGTGGGGTAGAGTGCGCCGTGTGGCGAGGCCGCCTGCCCGCGCGCTCTCCGCCCGCGTGCCACGTGTGAGCCACACTCGCCGGCCACCCCCGCCCGCCCTCGCCGCCCTCGCTGCCCTCGCCGCCACGCCTGTCCACCACGCCACGAATCCGCGGTGTCGCACTTGTGAACTTTTAGGTGCTTGTCGATCCCCTAGTTAAAACAGAGCATTAGCCACTTTTAACGTCTATGAATATATCTTATACGCTTATACCTATGACATCGCCTCGGCCCTTTTGTAAATAAATCCAGGCTTACCTACCGCTTCGTACACTTTATACAATTCGATACACGTAATTTTAAGAGATGATAAACTAAATGTAATAGGCCTATGGTATTCCGGTTTCACCGTTGATTCGTATAGACGGGCGACTGTGCCTCCTGTGATTTAATAGGACTCGACCGTTGTGAAGTGATAGCATCGCCACCGTCGACGTCAATGATCCTTCATATACTGTTGAATAAATATGATAGAAATACAAAGTATACATGGCTTCTTAAAGATGGCCAAAAACCAAACTTTTGTATTTACTCAGTTTGCCCAGACTATTAAGATGTTGTGGCTATTTATAGCCGACCGAATTAACTAAGTGAGACATTGACCAGGATTCTACTTTCTTTCGCATGTGATTGGAAATTCACTCCACTGATGTTCGTTACGTGTACGAGGTTGACGTTTTCGTCCGCTCGCTAAAGTAGACTGTCCCGCACCAGCGTCGACAAGCTTGTATGATCTCAATGGAAATATCCAATTAAGACATGGCGTTTGCCGGTGGTTTTTCAGATCCAAAAACGCAATGAGCGGTTGAAACGAGGTTGTTATTTGATATATCAACCTCGTACGGTCAGAACGTAGTCGTAAGTTTATGTTGTATGTTGTGTCGATTACCCGTGTATGAGCACGGCCGACCCCGCTCGCCCGATCAGTTGACACAGCCTCGGCCGCGGCACGCGCTATAGCACCGTAGTTTACTATTTATTCATAGTTACATACCTTTATCGATATCAGTATATTTATTCGATGTGGTTTATATGTTAATATATTTAAAAGCTTTATTCGTTAAGTATACAATACAGGAAGGTTGTGAAGAGTGAGGAGTTAGCGGCAGAGCTTAGCTTGACCATCTGTATACACAATTCGTCAGGCAAACGACTCTTATTCTAAATACCTATTTATGTAATTATATATCTTGCTATAGTTTACGAATATTTTTATCGTGTATACAATTATTTACACTCGGTAGGTACCTAACATGAAATTGTTACTGTAAGATGTACACAAAGCGGCTCGCTTGCCTTACGATTATTTACGCTGTCGCTAATGAAGAGATTGGGTTATATCGTATTAGCTTATAATGTTGTAGACATATCCAGTAAGACGTGACTTTACTAAAAATGTTTATTATTGGAATATTTGATAAGATCGCTTGTCTTTCCCTCTCAGCTTTTCCGAGTTCACGGAAATCTTGCCTACTTGTCAATTTCATACTCTTACGTTTCTTCGTACGCTCGGAAAAGTTGGCGTAGCGATATTTATATTTAAACGATAATTTAATGTTACAAAAGTAGTAGAAACTTACTTAGTACCTATTTTTCACATCATTTGAAAATGTCAACTGATATTATATTATTTTTATATATTCTATATTTATTTCCACAAATCTATATTTTACGATTTATTTATTAAGCTTAATCTTATATTCCTCTGTAATAGAAGATCAATGTAGTAGACAGTGTCAATAATATAAATCCATGGTCATCTCAGTAATCATTACAGTATTTCTTATCATATCATTAATACACATTTCATAGCATAGAACATCCCAAAGAAAGACATGATGTTATGCTATAGATTAGTCTAGACGTAGCATTTACATAGGTAAGTCCAGCTATTACTTGACAGCGTATCCATTTTGTACACACTTATGTAATCGCTTACACCGAGGCGAATGTTTGTGATTCAAAGACATGTGACATCCAATGCTATTACGAACAGTTGTTTAAATAGGATTGTATTTGTGAATTAAACAAAGCAGTGATAAAAACTCAGTGAAGTGGTTGTGTAATAACAAAAGGATTTTACTCGAATACAAATCGTTCGTTCATTTATATAAAATGGATGGTTTTAAATAAAAACTCTAAAACAAAACGCTGCCAAATTCCTTTACAAGTAGAATCAAAATTCTATTGGAAATTTGTGTTTTATCATTATTAGATAATAAGCAACATATTCTTAATTAATAAAATAGATAACGTTTAAATGTAATAGACGCTTCATACTGTCACTTTAACGCTTCATATCTAAACGCTTTAAAGGATGAGGGAATTTATTGATTTGTTTATTCAGAGACGGAACTGTTCATACGAAGGTGAATGCGCTTTATTTCATAAATCTGCCGAATAGACTCGTAGCTTAAAGTTATATATATTATATAGAATTGAATTGTGTTATAAAATTAATTGGTGTACTCATAGTAACATTTTACAAGTCAGATCCAGTCAACACTTCGAAGACTTCAGGTCTTCAGTGTAAATGGGATTTGTGTCTGAATGCGTGTTATTTTATATCATTGACATATGTAAGTGGTGCGAAAAGATCTCAATGGAATTATAAAATACATATCTTGGAGCAATATAGTCATATAAGGAATAATGTGAACACAAATCTGTCAATTTTGTATATTATGTTAGCTGATGTCCTTATGTCTAGTAACTAACTCGCCTAAGTTATAAAGTTGTTTTATTACACTCCAATTACCAATATAAATTGACAGATTAATGAAACAGTTCGTAAAAAACTAAATACCTACAATTCCATCGTCCTGGTAAATAGAATGAGCTATACCAAAATGTATTTCCTATATAACCAGCCATGATGTGATTAACGGTAACCTTAATGGTTGAGGCTCTTTTATCGAAATAAGAATGTTTTTTAAAAGGTCTAATACTTAATAAAGAAATGTTGTTTCAACATCAACAATCTCAACCAACTGAGTCTATGAATGGTGGATAAGTGAAAAATTCAAAAGATTTGAAAGCAATATGACGAAATCCGAGTGCTGTTGATCTAAGCGACCGAGGCTGTTACAACCCTCTTACCATAAACGTAGCTAGGAATAAGTGGAAGCGCCCTCAAATCTGGATAATTCAAATGTAACAGATATAGAGGTATAACTTCTATAATCTTGCCGTTCTACATCCACCTGAGGAAATCCTAGCTACGCGTATGCCTGTTACCATTAGATGTGTCGATGTTAATACTGTTTAAGAGTAGAACATGCATGTTGTGAACTATACTAAAAGCAGCAGTCGGGTCCATGAAGCAGGCGGTGTGCTGCGAGGGTCTAGGTCGTTGAAATTTTATCTTTTTCATAGGTACTCTTTTTTATATGTAACTATATTAACGATTATATGTTATTTCGCTATCCTACATTTTAACATGTATTCTGAGATCAGCGATTTCATATCGTAAAACGTATGCTTCTGTTCTTAAAATGTTTCGAAAATGAAATACTTTCAATTATTATTTTAATATTTTAACTGATTATTATCATTAACGTTTGGAAAAAGCCGTGAATAGAAAAGTGTGAATTACTCGTGTTGGCCAAAATCGCAGTATCATTCTCTTTTTGGACGTTTTACGATTATTAATCAGTAATAAATAGTTGATACGGTATAGAAGTAAAACAATTATGATGTACAGGCGTGATAAACATGGGCCCGGTGCGACCAAAAAAATATTATATGTAACCGAACTTCTTACGTTCTAATAGACTTATCCAATGTTGTACTTAGCCTATGATTTCTATTCAGACTAAAGAGTTTTAAATTATATTTCAATTATACGTAATTTTATTTACGTAAATAAATAAATAAAATCTATTACACATTCTTATATAGAATCAATATTATGTATTAGATAACTATTTTCAATTATTTTTCCCAATCTTCGGGAAAATTTGAAGTAAAATGATCTCAAGTATTTATAACGAAAGTAACGTAAAACCATTATACACACTCCCAATCATATAATCTATTTCAGTAAAAAAGACTACTAAGCGCTATCTGCAATATAGTTATTTACGTTACTTATAATAATGATATATTCAATGGAAATTAAATCGTAGTTAGATAAACCACATAGATTTCGCTGAAGGAATCACGTTTTTCCTCACTTGAGATATATCAAATTTTGTAGTTAGGAAATCAGTTGGCAAAATTTTAAAATACCGAGTCCAAATATGTCCGTGTTTGAGACGGGTCATATTCTACGTGGACAGTGTAACACTGTATTCTGTAAAATGTATTTATTTTAAGATTTATAGGTAGGTATATCCGCAAAACTGTTAGTGATGTTTCGGCAGAAACATTGTGGTCGAACCGCTTGCATGAATTCTAAAACTCTAATGGGACCCACCTGTGTATTATTGCCGTCGATGCAGCTTACTCGAACTACTGACGCGTATTCTTTACGCTTTCATATTTTAATAGAGGATGCATAAAGAGAGTTTTTATTTAATAATAATTTGGAACGTTACATTGTCGAAAAAAATCTAAGAGGCAGTGAAATTTTAAAAGCTGCGTTTAACGTTTTCTTTAAATGACTAGCATTGTAACGTGCGGTATGTCACAAACTGTTCGGTCGTAGATATAATTTTCCACATTCACTTATCCCTCTCCGTCCAGATTGAAGCGTGTTCATATTATATCGGATAATGTCGAAAATATTAGTAAAATTTAATTAGCGTTAAAGGAATACATTTTAATTAATATTTATTTGATGACTTTTTAAATATTTTTATTGATGTACTTATCCGGTCTTATGACAACCAACAACGTGGCGATTGTAAGTTGCTTGTATAAATAGTGCTTTAAAATCTTCATTTAAATATTATGTGTACACGTCATATATTAAATATTTCTATGGAGTTATGCTGTATGTCGCTTATAAGAGCTCATCTCGTTTCGATTATCGGAATTTTAACACTGGAATCACAATTAATCGACACTAAAAAAATATTACAATTTTCCAGTATATAATTACTAAACCTCTTACAAATACATAAAAAAATTAAATAAGGTTTTATAATATTAAGAGCTTTTTGAATAGTATACCTACCAAAGATGATCTTATGACTTAATCTGAATATTTCGCGATAATTTATTTACTATTTAATATCCATCCAGTATTATTAGATGAATAGGTATAATGGTTCAGCCATTTTAGCTCCTGTAGTTATTAAAATATTATTAAAATTTTAAATGTTCTCCGTTACATAGAATTGGTCCCATAATAATAAGTTCGTTTGTCGACAATAAGATTCTATAGGTCTGCTGATATAATCATGATCTCAAGTGCTAAATGGCCTGCGCTTCGTTTCACCAGACACTTAGACGAGGGTATTCCGAAAACCAGGTAGGTACAGAACTACTGATTTGGAGTGAGAAGATTAGCAAAAAATTATAATTTTAAGCGTGGCGGTTGTAAATAATATTATCATAAAATGATATATCAATCGCCAAATTTTTGCGATGACATTCGATGCAATAAAATGTTCTTTTTTATCAGAACTCAAAAATAACATCACAATCTAGTTTCTAAACCTACTAAATCGTTTCCAAACGTTAAGAGAAAGCTATTTTATGCCTAGGAATAGGCTATTTTTAACACATTAAGCTGAGCATTAGATGAAGGAGTCATTTATAAATAATACACTTTTTAATACATCGTAAATCCGGAAACCCTCCCCTTAAAGTTCTTTTTGCACTGTGAATTTTTAACTTATAGCGAAAACACGTATAATGTACGTATAACGTACGAAAAATAAAATTTAATTCATTTATGTACATATACATATTATAGTGTCATGCCACAAACGAGTTTATGGAGTTTTGGAATTCATATAAACGTGCGACCGGTGAAACATTTTAGGTATTAACTTTGTTTATACTTAAGAAATTTATTTATAAGCCAGGTGCAGACGACCTTATGCAGAAGTCAACACATATTTGTGAAATTTAATTGTATTTCTGTCATAGATTATAATAGCGCACTTATAATATGCAAGTAGGTCTTACAAGTAAATAATCGTAACACATTGAAAGCATTGATAGAGAATAACAAGCGATATTGTGAATAAGCACTTGCGATGTTCTGTATAAGGTCATCTGAATCGTTAATGTTTCTATTTTCTTCACTTACGATTGTGCCAGCTTGTCTAGACGCCTATGTGGTATAGCCCTTTACATATTAGTTAGGATCATGTGCCAAGGAAATTCAATACTACACAAATTTTGGTCAAAACATAAGAGAGAAAGCAATCGTTTTAATATAGTATATTTGGTGAAAGAAAAAGTCATATCGCACTAGTTGCACATAAACATTTTCTATTAAAATTACTTAAAACATAAAAAGTGCACAAAAATAAGTTCCTAAATATCGCAAGCAATCCACAACACATTACAGGCGACTCGAGTCCTGAAACACTGCCGTATTCATAACGCTTGTTGATTCGCCGTAAAGAGATACACCTTTAAGTTATACCACATAGGTGTCGATCTCGACTACCTGTACAGCTCATGTAATATATTCTGTTGTCTTGAAACCTGCAGAAACCAATGGGTATTTGACTATTTTTGTATTTATTTCGCTAAGTTCACTTGTAATGACATACATGATTAAATAAAAGATTATAAATTTAATAATAAAATAAAATTTTTTAGTTGTTATGTACATTTTTTCATGTAAAATAAAAAAAAACTAATGTTTATTTATATTTATGGTTTCCATAATTTTTCAGTATTATATGTATAAAAAAAAATTAGTATTTCTTAATTATTTTTAATATATATAATCAGTCAAATACCCTCATAGCTTGTAAGTTTAAATAGTCATCGTCGGCGATCTCATTTCTTTTAAACAGTTATTACGCGTTTGCGCCAAAAGTGTGAATGAATATGTATAATTGTGTAACCGCTGTCACTTTACATGGACCTAGTGACAGTAAGAACTTAGTAACGTAAATTTACATTTGGTATCTAATTAACAGTATTATATATATGAAAAAACCCTATATTATTTATATACTTCTTATACATTAGAATTTACTAATATTTAATATTATATACATTAATTAGGTACATAAATATATATAATATATTCGCCTTAAGTTTTACTAAATTTTAGATTTTTCTCTCCTTCGAATATTTTATCATATTATGCAGATAAAATTTTACGAGCTAAATATTTCCGTTACTAAGTTAATACTCTAGAAACAATTTTCTTGAATGTAACGGTGAAAGATCTACTATATTGCATTATGATAATGATTAAAAAAGATCTAAGTGCCATATGTGTACTATACAAAAACATATAACAAATGCCTACTTGTAAATCCAAAGTCAACCCAAAGAATAGTCGTATTTGGGTTCTCGTTACAGATCGACCAATTAGAAAAATATTTCTAATAAAATATAGTAGATCTCATCAAATAGGCTATCTCGCTTTTCTAGACATTCGACTTAAAACTCATAGTGTGACTGGGGCTTTTCCAACGATTACATCTGAGTTGACAGTGCTATGCTGTTATGTTATATTTACTTTGTATCCTTCTGAGTTGTAAATGAGACATGTATAAATGATTCAATAAATTGACTTGGATGTTTGATTTGTCCCACCCGCTTCCCAAACGAGATTATGCTAAGAAGTGTTTTCTATTTTTAATCTTTAGGTTTTAGAAATAAAAATAAAATATTTATTTGTGATTTGCACGATCCCAATATGTAAATAAAATTTAAAAGTAATGCCTCCATTTGTCCCATAATTTCTAGTTTAACTTTCAGTAGCAAGTAAAAAAATCATGCGTAAATCGATATTAATCGATTATAAGTATCGTAATACGTGATTCCCTTAAAGCTTGTAAAACGCCCGTAAAACAAACAGACTATTCACATGCACACTTGTTTTGGTAGTAATATTGACTGCGCAGTTTCTTTCATCGCGTATGTCTATGGCGATTTTCTTTCCCGATAGCGGTAACACGACTTAAATATATAGATTTGAAACCGCACCATCTAGTGTTAAGAAAAGGCATTAATTTCAACAAATACCTATCCTATCAATAAGTCTGGCTTATTAATCAGTAAGTATTAACAAATGAGAAAATAGTATCAGATACAACGACTTGTTAACCCAAGGTCCAAATTCAAATTCGATCAAAATTCAAATGTTTTAATGCCAAGGAGTAACAAACATTCATACACACACATATAAAGTTTCTTATCTATACATATAAATAAAATTGAAGTGTCCGTCTGTGATTTCAAAAAGAAAAGTTTTACACTTGTGAATAAACATTTTACATCTCATTTCAG